ACTGTAAGCCCAGATCCAGAATTATAAGACAACCTGGAAGCTTCAAACCAGCCATACAGTACACACAGCTAAGTCTTACATTTTCGGGTGAGTACAGGATAAACCTCTCCCCAGGTGATGCATTTTTACAAAGTCTCACCGAAGAGGGCAGAATTGCTGCTGACTCATAGGCCTGGCTCTCTCTTCAACAGGATCACATTTACTTCAGTGATAGGACAATATATAGCCTAGATCCAGGCCTTTCACTGGAGACCAACATTTTTCATTTTCAAACGTGTGGCCCCTGTCAGAGAACTGTTGAGTTAGGCCTAAATATGGCTCTTTCCAGAGGCCTGCTGTAAAGCACTATGGTGTATCAGTTGTGATACACCAAATTGTAGCCCTGAATCCCCTCTTTCCATCAAGCCCAAACACATTAATATAGCAGAAAGGGACAGCTAAGGATATGCTTTTCAATATAGCCAATTAAGGAGGTATTCTGAGGGCTCCAAAATTTACTCCGAATATTACCAGGCTGTTCAGCCCAGGAGATTCAGATTTTCAGTCGTGATACACCAAATTGTAGCTCTGACTCCCCTCTTTCCATCAAGCCTAAACACATTAATTTAGCCCAACAGGATACCTAAAAATATGCATTACAATAAAGCTAATTAAGGGGGTATTCTGAGGGCTCCACAATTTACTCCTAATATTACCAGGCTGTTCAGCATAGCACACTCGGATTTTGAGTTGTGATACACCAAATTGTAGCTCTAACTCCCCTCTTTCCATCAAGCCCAAACACATTAATATAGCAGAAAGGGACAGCTAAAAATATGCTTTTCAATATAGCCAATTAAGGAGGTATTCTGAGGGCTCCAAAATTTACTCCGAATATTACCAGGCTCCAAAATTTACTCCTAATATTACGAGGCTGTTCAGCCCAGGAGACTCAGATTTTCAGTTGTCATACACCAAATTGTAGCTCTGACTCCCCTCTTTCCATCAAGCCCAAACACATTAATATAGCAGAAAGGGACAGCTAAAATATGCATTACAATCAAGCTAATTAAGGAGGTATTCTGAGGGCTCCAAAATTTACTCCGAATATTACCAGGCTGTTCAGCCCAGGAGACTCAGATTTTCAGTTGTGATACACCAAATTGTAGCTCTGACTCCCCTCTTTCCATCAAGCCCAAACACATTAATATAGCAGAAAGGGACAGCTAAAACTATGCATTACAATCAAGCAAATTAAGGAGGTATTCTGAGGGCTCCAAAATTTACTCCTAATATTACCAGGCTGTTCAGCCTAGGACACTCGGATTTTGAGTTGTGATACACCAAATTGTAGCTCTAACTCCCCTCTTTCCATCAAGCCCAAACACATTAATATAGCAGAAAGGGACAGCTAAAAATATGCATTACAATCAAGCTAATTAAGGAGGTATTCTGAGGGCTCCAAAATTTACTCCGAATATTACCAGGCTCCAAAATTTACTCCTAATATTACGAGGCTGTTCAGCCCAGGAGACTCAGATTTTCAGTTGTGATACACCAAATTGTAGCTCTGACTCCCCTCTTTCCATCAAGCCCAAACACATTAATATAGCAGAAAGGGACAGCTAAAAATATGCATTACAATCAAGCTAATTAAGGAGGTATTCTGAGGGCTCCAAAATTTACTCCGAATATTACCAGGCTGTTCAGCCCAGGAGACTCAGAATTTCAGTTGTGATACACCAAATTGTAGCTCTCACTCCCCTCTTTCCATCAAGCCCACACACATTAATATAGCAGAAAGGGACAGCTAAAAATATGCATTACAATCAAACTAATTAAGGAGGTATTCTGAGGGCTCCACAATTTACTCCGAATATTACCAGGCTGTTCAGGACAGGAGACTCAGATTTTCAGTCGTGATACACCAAATTGTAGCTCTGACTCCCCTCTTTCCACCAAGCCTAAACACATTAATTTAGCCCAACAGGATACCTAAAAATATGCATTACAATAAAGCTAATTAAGGAGGTATTCTGAGGGCTCCACAATTTACTCCTAATATTACCAGGCTGTTCAGCCTAGGACACTCGGATTTTCAGTTGTGATACACCAGATTGTAGCTCTGACTCCCCTCTTTCCATCAAGCCTAAACACATTAATTTAGCTCAACAGGACAGCTCAAAATATGCATTACAATAAAGCTAATTAAGGAGGTATTCTCAGCACTTCAATACAGTGGGTACGGAAAGTATTCAGACCCCTTTAAATTTTTCACTCTTTGTTTCATTGCAGCCATTTTCCAAAAATCTAAAAAGTTCATTTTATTTCTCAGTAATGTACACTCAGCACCCCATCTTGACAGAAAAAAACAGAAATGTAGAAATTTTTGCAAATGTATTAAAAAAGAAAAACTGAAATATCACATGGTCATAAGTATTCAGACTCTTTGCCGTGACACTCATATTTAACTCAGGTGCTGTCTATTTCTTCTGATCATCCTTGAGATGGTTCTACACCTTCATTTGAGTCCAGCTGTGTTTGATTATACTGATTGGACTTGATTAGGAAAGCCACACACCTGTCTATATAAGACCTTACAGCTCACAGTGCATGTCAGAGCAAATGAGAATCATGAGGTCAAAGGAACTGCCTGAAGAGCTCAGAGACAGAATTGTGGCACGGCACAGATCTGGCCAAGGTTACAAAAAATTTTCTGCTGCACTTAAGGTTCCTAAGAGCACAGTGGCCTCCATAATCCTCAAATGGAAGACGTTTGGGACGACCAGAACCCTTCCTAGAGCTGGCCGTCCAGCCAAACTGAGCTATCAGGGGAGAAGAGCCTTGGTGAGAGAGGTAAAGAAGAACCCAAAGGTCACTGTGGCTGAGCTCCAGAGATGCAGTCAGGAGATGGGAGAAAGTTGTAGTAAGTCAACCATCACTGCAGCAATCCACCAGTCGGGGCTTTATGGCAGAGTGGCCCGACGGAAGCCTCTCCTCAGTGCAAGACACATGAAAGCCCGCATGGAGTTTGCTAAAAAAACACCTGAAGGACTCCAAGATGGTGATAAATAAGATCCTCTGGTCTGATGAGACCAAGATAGAACTTTTATGGCCTTAATTCTAAGCGGTATGTGTGGCGAATACCAGGCACTGCTCATCACCTGTCCAATACAGTCTCAACAGTGAAGCATGGTGGTGGCAGCATCATGCTGTGGGGGTGTTTTTCAGCTGCAGGGACAGGACGACTGGTTGCAATCGAGGGAAAGATGAATGTGGCCAAGGACAGGGATATCCTGGACGAAAACCTTTTCCAGAGTGCTCTAGACCTCAGACTGGGCCGAAGGTTTACCTTCCAACAAGACAATGACCCTAAGCACACCGCTAAAATAACGAAGGAGTGGCTTCACAACAACTCCGTGGCTGTTCTTGAATGGCCCAGCCAGAGCCCTGACTTAAACCCAATTGAGCATCTCTGGAGAGACCTGAAAATGGCTGTCCACCAACGTTTACCATCCAACCTGACAGAACTGGAGAGGATCTGCAAGGAGGAATGGCAGAGGATACCCAAATCCAGATGTGAAAAACTTGTTGCATCTTTCCCAAAACGACTCATGGCTGTATTAGATCAAAAGGATGCTTCTACTAAATACTGAGCAAAGGGTCTGAATACTTATGACCATGTGATATTTCAGTTTTTCTTTTTTAATAAATTTGCAAAAATGTCTACATTTCTGTTTTTTTCTGTCAAGATGGGGTGCTGAGTGTACATTACTGAGAAATAAAATGAACTTTTTAGATTTTTGGAAAATGGCTGCAATGAAACAAAGAGTGAAAAATTTAAAGGGGTCTGAATACTTTCCGTACCCACTGTATGTTGTCCACATATTAACCAGGTTGCTCAGCCTAGGACACTCAGATTTTCTTTTGTGATACACCAAATTGTAGCCCTGAATCCCCTCTTTCCATCAAGCACAACCACCTCCCCAGCTGGATGTCTGTGGCCCAGAGCATGGAGCCCTGGCTGGGCAGGCATCCAGGGAAGCAGCCCCCTCCCCAGCTGCGGACCCAGCGAAACAATGAGAAAATGGGGTTGAAAATGATCACCATGACAAACATAATGATTTTTTAAAAAAAAGGGCGAATGAAGCTACGCTGGAGCCGAGAAGAGCCTGTGATAGAGAGTATTTATGTGAATTTTGTCCATTCGTCACTTTGATATTATCTCCTCGATTTGTATTTTATTTTTATTATTGTACGTTGAATAGTTTCTCATTTTGAGGCCGAATTTTTGACAAAGTGTTTTTACCGATAAACCCTAGGGCTAGGACTAGGGCTTTGGCCATTTTGCAGAGTTTTCCCGTTTCGAGGAGTTTACCCCTGTTTCACAAGCTACCATCGGCACGATTTCAGAAATCCAGTTTTTGAGAGGAAAAAAGTCCCGAGCGAGTCCACACCTCCAGGGTCGTTCTAGAGGGAACTTCCCCGTGATCGAGGTGCCACGGCTAGGCAGAGTGCAGAGGCTTTGGGGCCTACGCGCTACCAGGGACGTTAACATCCAGGGAGGACCGGAGGTGACAGGGGCCTCTGGGCGCCACTTTACCCGTCCAAGGTGGCTCTCCCCGGGCTGGGCGAGGGGCTTGTGGGCCCCCCACCCGCGTCAACCCCACGTGTCTCCACTTCCACAGCTTGACTCCCAGAGGTGACAGGGGCCTCTGGGCACCACTTTACGCTTCGCACCTTAGCTCATCCAACACGGGACTGAGTGCTGTCCACCGGGCAGAGTGCCAGGGCCACGAATCAGTCGACAGGGGCCTCTGGGCGCCGCTTTACCCGACCAGGGTGGCTCTCCCCAGGCTGTGCGAGGGGCTCGATGGTCCCCCGCTCGCCTGAACCACAAGTGTCTCCACTTCCAGAGCTTGACTCCCAGAGGTGACAGGGGCCTCTGGGCGCCGCTTGACTCCCAGAGGTGACAGGGGCCTCTGGGTGCCACTTTACCCCTCCAAGGTGGCTCTCCCCAGGCTGGACGAGGGGCTTGTAGGCCCCCCACCCGCGTCAACCCCACGTGTCTCCACTTCCAGAGCTTGACTCCCAGAGGTGACAGCCCATCCAACCCGGGGAGTCATCCGTTGCTGATTCCTTTCTACCGGGCAGAGTACCAGGGCCGCCGAACGGTGTACCATGTCTCCAGCCCGGTCTACCAGGGCCACCGAACGGTGCACCAGGGCTACGGTTCGGACTACCAGGGGCGCCAGGCAGAGTACCTCAAGCCGATCGCTGGCCCTCGTGGTGGCGACGTCTCATTCGAATGTCTGCCCTATCAACTTTCGATGGTACTTTCTGTGCCTACCATGGTGACCACGGGTAATGGGGAATCAGGGTTCGATTCTGGAGAGGGAGCCTGAGAAACGGCTACCACATCCAAGGAAGGTAGACATTAACCCACTGGCAAAAACGAGGAAGGGTTGAGCTGACAGGGAGCCGCCTGGGGGTTGGAGACATGGCCCCCACCTCACAAGACGTGGGAAGTGTGGTGTACGGACACCAGTGGTTGATGTCTTACACTGAGCGATAGCTGGTTGGCCCCGACGACTTGTGGTGAGGTGGAACGGCTAGTATCGGTCTGGCAGGTGAAACCATCTATAGTTGATCCCGGTACAAGATCCTGCAGGGCGTCTACCGTAGGCGCAGGGCCGAGGCAGCCCGGTTGGTTTAAGATGGAGCGGTGTCGGCTGTGTGCGGTATCCCTGCAGCCACAATCCAAGAAACTTATGAGGCCATATAGGGAGGCCCTGACGGTTTTGTTTGCTTGGGCCAGTTTGCCTCCCCGGCCGTGGCCGATAACACCCCCTTCTGCAGTCCGATCTCCCCGGGCGAAGTTCTAGCGGCAGTGCAGAAGATTAAAAGGGGTTCGGCGCCTGGCCCAGATGGTATCGGGAGGGGAGCCCTTCTGGCCTGGGACCCCAAAGGGCTTATGCTGGCCGGCGCCTTTAATGCCATTCTTTACACCGGCAAGGTCCCCAAGTGCTTGAAAGGTAGTGTTACTACCTTAATCCCCAAGTCCCCCGACCGGGACAAGCAAATGGATATAGGCCAGTGGCGGCCTATCACTATCAGCTCAACCGTCCTCAGGGCCTTCTCCGGTATCTTATGCAAGAGGTTGGCTGAGGCATGCAACACCCACGTATGGCAGCGTGGGTTTGTTGAGTCCCCTGGATGTTCCGAGAACCTAATGTTGCTGGAAGGCATGATTCGGTTGAGCAAGAGAGAGAAGCGGGCACTGGCTGTGGTCTTTGTGGACTTTGCCAAGGCTTTTGACTCTGTCTCCCACCTGCACATTCAGGCCGTTCTGGCCCAGTTGGGGGTAGACCAACACATTTGTGAACTGCTCCGGAGTGCGTACCACGGGTCCCATGCTAGGGTCAAGATGGCTGATGGGTCCACTGATCGTATCTATTTGAAGAAGGGGGTCAAGCAAGGTGACCCCCTCTCCCCGTTGCTCTTCAGCCTCTCCATCGATCCCTTGTTGTATGCGTCGGAGGAGCACGGGGAAGGCTTCAAGGTGAGGGGTGAGCGGGTCACCTCCTTTGCATTTGCCGACGACCTGGTTCTGCTGAGCGACTCCTGGGATGGCATGGCGAAAAACCTGGTGATATTAGAGGAATTCTCCAGGCTCACTGGTCTTGGTGTCAACCCGAGTAAATGTCACAGCTTCCTGATCAGCCCGAACGGTGCCTCCTATCGAATCAACGTCGGGCCCCAATGGAGGCTGGGTGGGGCCCCCTTGCACTTAATCGGTATCGGTGAATCAGTGGGGTATTTGGGTGTCTGCCTCACTCCGTGGAAGGGGATCATCAAGCCCCCCCTGAAGTCGATGACTGTTGACCTGTTGACCAGAATCTCTGCTGCACTCCTGAAGCCAACTCAGAAGTTGGCGGTCCTCAAAATGTATGCCCTGCCGAGGCTTACCTATGCGGCGGATCACAGAATGGTGGGCAAAGCGGTTTTGCTTGAGCGTGACAGACTCATCCGCTCTGCAGTGAAAAAGTGGCTGCACCTCAGTCTTTCCACGGCTGATGGCTTGCTCTACGCACGAGCCAAAGACGGCGGCCTTGGAGTGGTTAAAGTGGCGGCTCATATTCCCTCCGTCCAATGGCGCCGCTTGACAGGGCTCCAAAGACCAGCTTGTCAGAGAGGTGACCCGGGCGGTGGTCTCCTCCAAAGACATCTCGAACCTGTCCTCCTCGATCGGTGCCAAGGCGATCAGTACGCCTGCCCCGGCTGTTACTGATGTCACGAATATCCCGGAGGGGCCCCCGCCTCCCCTCGCGATGTGGCAGGACCGTGAATTTGAGCAATGGTGTACACTCAGGACCCAAGGTGTTGGAGTGGTAGTCTTCCACAGTGATACAACTAGCAACAGCTGGCTGTGTGACCCCCCAGTCAGGGGCATGACTGAAGTTGGTTTCAGGTTGGCGCTCCAACTGCGTACCAATGTGCTGACCTTGCTACCTGCCCTGCAAAGAGTCCCCGGCCGCCAGCAGGGCCAGTCCCTCTGTTGAGAGAAACAACTAGGCATGTGGTTGGCCGCTGTCCCCGGCTCCAGAGATATAGATGCTCTAACCACAATAAGATCTGCGCAATCCTCCAGCGAGAATGTGCTAGCCACGGTTGGGAAGTCTGGAAGGAGAGGCGCATTCCGGTCGGTCCCGGTAAGGTCCTCGTCCCGGACCTGGGAGGCTGAGAAATACACAGTGCTGGTGCCGATCTTGATATGTATGAGGCCCACGATTTCCACGGTGATGGTGCGTGGATTCCCCATTGGTGCAAGTGGCACAGACGGAACTACGTGGTCCTATGGCGCATCGGCCTCAGCAAGCCACGGGCCAAGCGGCTTGCGGACATTCTGAGCAGGAGGGCCCTCCTGCAAACGATCGATCTCTGCAGCATGTCCATGCGGATGATCGGAGTTGCGGTCAGATGACTTCCATGACATAAGACGGTGGTCGAGCAGTCCGGTCCTCATAATGGTGGGTGCCCCGCATCCCCGGCTAGTCTACAGTGGCGTGTGTCGCAGCATCTAGTTGCGTCGGGCGTCAGCTGGGTCCTCCTGGGCTCCGCCCGGGTCCCCATGGTCCCCCAAGGACGCCAGTCCTGGTCTCTGGGTTGTCTGGGTGGCCGGTGCGGCCTACAGTGGCATGTGCCTCAGTGCTGCACTGTTGTATGTGTCAGCTGGGGTCGCGGCGGTCTGCCTGGGCACCCATTGGCGTTGGGACCCGATGAGGGTCGTTCGCTGCCCCGCTGATGGATGGAGCCTCGGATCCTAGCTCTCAACTTGGACCATGATAGCTCCCAGGGAAGTGGTGCAACCCTGAGGGCACGGAGGACCTGACGGTGGATCCCACGGACGGATGAATGTGGTCTATGCTGTAACATGGTGCGACCGTGCCGAGCAAGGGCCCCATCCCAAATTGTTTATCTTGTGGAAAGTAACTCGCACTGAGGACTCAGGCAGCCTGAGGTGGCTCTCCGCCACTCTGTGTGCGCATAAGACGGTCGGGTGGCCTCCTATAAATGCTGTAAGGCTCTGTGGGGCGGCAGAGCGGTTGCTACGATGCTCTGTGGGGCGGCAGAGCGGTTGCTACGATGCTCTGAGGGCGGCAGAGCGCAAAGACCTGAAAACCAGAAAGGGCGGCTCGGCAATGGTGAGTGCGTCAGCGGCCAGGGTGCTTCCGGCCTGTGCCCCTCAGGGCCAGCCCCAATCCAAGGTCGTGCTCAAGTCAGGGACGCCGGTTGTGGTTCGGGCCGCCAGCGAGTTTATGGGTAAAAACACTTTGTCGAAATTTCACTCGCTCGAAAAAATGACAAAGTGTTTTCACCGATAAACCCTGCGAAGCCCTAGACCTCTAGGGCCATTTTGCAGAGTTTTCCCGTTTCAAGGAGTTTACCCCTGTTTCACAAGCTACCATTGGCACGATTTCAGAAACCCAGTTTTTGAGAGGAAAAAAGTCCACACCTCCAGGGCCGTTTTAGAGGGAACTTCCCCGCGATCGAGGTGCCACGGGTGGGCAGAGTGCAGAGGCTGTGGGTCCTCCGCGCTACCAGGACCGTTAACATCCAGGGAGAACCAGAGGTGACAGGGGCCTCTGGGCGCCACTTTACCCAACCAGGGTGGCTCTCCCCGGGCTGGGCGAGGTGCTTGTGGGTCCCCCACCCGAGTCAACCCCACGAGTAATGGCTGACTCAAGTGGAGTGGAAGAAGGCAGCGACTTCAGTCCAGTAAGTATACATAAACATTTTTTTTTGTAAATCTGTATGTTTACACCATGCATAAATTATTCCCATGTCATTGGATGTTTTATAATGCTGTTTTTCCCCACAGGCATCGACCGTATGGCTGTCGCGGACAGTAAGTTGTGTATTCTTGTCTATAAATGATGCCTGTCCATGTCCCATCGTGCACTGGGAGTTCTTTAATTTAATGACTTTGTGCTTAAGATGAGATGAAAGGAACTTTTACACTTTTGCTTTTACAGTTTCAGCACAGCAATCATGCCAGGATTTCATATGTTGCAAAATATTACATTATTAAAATTATTGACACCATGACTGAAAACAGTTTCGTCATTCAAACTACTTCTATAGCTGTCAGCATTGTTGTTTAAATAATTCCACACTGATGTTTCAATGAATAGTTTGAATTGAAATACTGGAGTGGAATTATGTCAAACAGGACACTGAATGCTATTTAACTGGCTTGAATTTTGGAGTTGGGGGCATCTAAGTATATTGTTTCAATGAATTCTGATTATTCAGTCAGGTTTAACAACTGTTGGGTTGTGCCATTTTGCAGGAAAGTAACTTTCGGGTGACCTAGGATGAGGAACACCACCAGTCTGTGCCGCCGCTGCCTCCTGAATTAATTGAGGATGATGAGAATGTAATGTATACTAAAAATGATTTAAACTCACATACTTGCAGTTGTTATAATTTTTTTTTCTCTCCAGTATTTTGCAGACGAGAGAGTATGACCCCATGGAAGGAGACTGATGTTTTTTTATTTATATAGTGCAGATCTGCATTTGTCAGTTTTGAATTTTATTTGTTTTAACTGTTTTAATAAATAAATTTGAAAAACAAATCCACTCTGCTCCTTGTATCTTTCCTGTAGTTTTGATGGTGAATGCAGTTTCAGGCAAAAATGGCCTCTTCACAAAGATTTAACACTGAATTGAAAATTCTTTCTGTATCCGCTTATTGTTTTAATTTAATTTGTAGTGCCAATTACATGGTTAATTGTAAAAATAATGCCTTTGCGCACAGGCTCTCTATGCTGAGCTGAGGCAGCTCACGAGCAGTTTCAGCCACAGACTCAAAGAGTGTTACGGTTTGGTGTGGGTGAGGCAGGTTGGAGGACCCAAACACAGGACGCAAGGCAGAGGTATAGTTCAGTGAAGGGTTTTACTATGACCAAAAGCGCTCACACTTACAGGTGAGTGGCTGAATATAGAGTCCATAAACTAAGGTAGTCCAAACAAAGGTCCAAATGGAGCTGGGTAACAGGGAGACACGGCAGGGAGACACGACAAGCAGGCAGACAACAGGAGACCTCACAGCAACTCCGGGAGACAGCACAACTAGAAAGCAATGAACCGACAAAGACAAAACAGAAACACCAGGTATATATACACACAGGGAGTAACGAGCACGGCGGGAGCAACACAGGTGACAGAGATCAGGGTTAACGAAGGACAGGCAGGCAGGCAGAGAGAGAGCAGGGGAAAACAAAGACAGACATGCAGAGGGATCACTGGGGTAACAGACACAAAATAGACCAGAGTGAACACTTAACATGAACTAGGGTACAGGACTGGGAACAAGCACAAAGAACTAAAACGCAGGAACAAGAGTTAAGGCAGTGACTAAGAAACAACAACTAGACAACCAAACTTCAAACCAAAGCCATATCAAATCAACGCAGGACTATGAGCTAGAATACCAGACAAGACATAAACACCAAGGACAAGGAAACGAGAAGAACAGGTAAACAGAAGGACACCAGAAACAAATGGCAAAAACTCAAAACCACAGGGAAAAACTACAACTCATGACAAAGAGCTTAGAATCAAAGCTATCAGACTCCACAAAGCCACAGCATCCAACATCTCCCATCTCCACTTACAGACTACAGATTTGTTTTTATTATTTTCCAATTTTATTAGACACAGAGACACAGACAGGTATAGACACTGACACAGGGTGCCTGAATACATTAATATTTGTAAGTTGCTTTGGATAAAAGGCTAAATGAAAAAATATAATTATATATATTGTCAATGTATTCACTCAATGTGCTTTTTTTTCTCCCTGTGAGACTATAGTGTGTGCCAACTTGAATTTCCACTATGGGGAATTAATAAAGGAATATCTGATATTATGTTATTGGGGGGGAGAAAATGAGACCAACGGTCAAGCTGAGGTGAGAGAGAAAAAAAAACAAAAAAAACAGGCTCTAGTCAGGCTGGTGTCACTGAAAAAAAAAAGGGGGGGGGTTCAGGCATCCAGTCAATCAGATCAAAGCGTTATGATCCTGTCAATCATCCTTGAACTTTTCACCTTTAAGCAGCTGGGCAGAGTTTATCACAGAGGGACCTGGACAGTTGGAGCTGGAGTTTGAGAGCTTTGGAGGACTTCTGAAAAGGCTGTTAGCACATCCGAAAGTAAGGTTTTATCTCTTTTTATCACTTTCTCTTGAATGCCAGCCATTTAATTATTATTTCTTTAAAAATATGTTTGCTCAAGTTTTAAAGGGATAATTGGCATCATGACAAGGAGTGACAAATCTTAACCATTTGGGAATGCGTTGACAGATAGAATTTAAGTTTATTTCCAGCCACCAACTGTTGGAGGTACCGAAAGAGGTTTCACATTTTTTTTTAATTGTGACACAATTTAGAACAAAACGGTTGCCTAATGTAATGTTTTAGTGGCAGCAAGACTAACAATAATCCACATTTTTAAGTCTGAGGGAGGGAGAGCGCACCTGTCAGCGCTGGCTCTTGGGCTTTCAGAGCCACGTTCCGCCGATCCACCTTTACGGATTTTTAAACATGCTTAGATTTTAAGGCTACTTTAATTTCAATGGTTGCAAAGGGTTTACAATGTTAATGTATCCCTCTGAGGTCTGACAATGTTTTTCTTTCCTTATTTTCTCGATTTCATTGTGTGTCTCTGTGTCTGACAACTCTTAACCATTTGGCAATTTTATTTATTTATTTTTATTCTGAACAGGGCTTTAATTTAAATTCAACACATAATTTAGAATAAAACCGCTGTCTATTGTAGTGTTTTACAGGTGGCTATACTAAAAATAATCATGATTTTTAAGTCTGGGAGAGGGAGAAGAGGGCAAGGCTGCCTTTCAGCGCAACAGGCTCCCTGGCTGTTTCTTTCCTTTTTTCCCTCGATTTCACACAGTTTAACTGCACTTGAACTATATGATTCCCTGTGTTATATTAAAATGTGATTGTGTTAATTCAAGTTTTCAGTAATTCTTTGTTTTTTTCCCTGCAGACATGACGCTCCCTAAAAAGAGCAGTTGCTGTCCAGTGTGCTGCAAAGTGTACAACGCCATGTCTAACCACTTTCGAAACGGCCACAGTGTGGCCAACCCAGAGGAGAGGAGTCTCCTTCTAAATCTGGCGACCAGGAGGGTCAATGTTAGG